TATTTTCATGTTTCATCTGTTAGAATATCTCTTGTTTATGTACAGTAATAAGAACAGAAGCCTCATGTCAACTTCAGGACAACACTTGCCTGAACAGAATTTTCATTGGGTTAAATTAACCACTACCTGTCAGACAAAAAACCGCTGCCCAATTCATTCGTTGAAGTGAAGAAGAGTCCATGCTCATATTCCTCAGTGGAGTACTGAACCAGAAAACCACTGTTCACCTGAATAGACACTACAGAACCAAATCTATGGTAATTTAAAGGGTCACCTTTATCAAAATCTACTTTTCATGGGTTTATAATAAAATGTCTGAACATGACTGATCCGATTTTGGACTTTAGATGTCATAAACGATGTTTTTGGGCTTGTTAACAATTACAATAACCAACAAGGTAAACGACCTTAATCACCAAGATTCTCCGTCCTAGAGAATTGTGTTTTTTTAAAAAATAATAGAGGGTGTGGGGATGGCATATTTTCATCTAAGTAAAAAGACGAGAATCACCATTTTAAAAGGGAAAACAGAGGGTTTATGGATGCATAGAAATGGGTGGATTGTTTGGTATTTCAGCCTAACACTTCAGAGACATGTTTTGTATCTATCTGAGACCTATAATATATTGATGAAAAACAGTATAATAGGAGACCTTTGATTGACGTTTAGTCTTAAAGGTCTCCTATCATGCAAAATGCATTTTTGTATGTCTTTTATACATAAATGTGTGTCAGGGAACTCACAAAGTGAGTGCGCTACGTGTTTTGGAAGTAATATGGTCTTTGTTTACATTAGCAAGTATTGCTAACACTCAGAGCTAACCTGTACTGGAGAGAGCCTACATATGAGGCCTACATATGAGCCTACAAAAACCATCACCCCCACAACACACTCCACTCTCACCAACTGTCTCTCAGAAATAAAAGCATGGATGCAAACAAACTATCTCCAACTGAACAGTGCCAAATAAGACATCATCATCATCGGCCCCCCATCCCGTATCAAAGACATCCAGAATTTCAACTTCACCATTGACAGCCACACTCTATCTCCCCCCACTCACATCCGCAACCTCTGAGTCATTTTCGACAGTCAGCTCAAATTCAACCACCACATAAATCACATCACCAGGACCGCCTTTTTCCACCTCAAAAACATCGCCCGTCTCCGCCCATCACTCTCCTCCTCTGCTGCTGAAACCCTGATTCATGCATTCATCACTTCACGACTCGACTACTGCAATAGCATCCTCTATGGCATACCATCCAACCTCCTCTAAGCTGCCCCGCCTCCTCAGCCACACCCGCTCCCGAGACCACATCACTCCCATCCTCCAGAACCTCCACTGGCTCCCCGTCCGTCAAAGAATCCACTTCAAAGTCCTCAACAACCAAGCCCCCCCCTACCTCACAGACCTGCTGCACCACCACACCCCTTCCCGTTGCCTCCGCTCATCAGAAGCCAACCTCCTATCCATCCCCACCCGCACCAATCACCGGACCTGGGGGGACAGAGCCTTCTCCGTCGCTGCCCCCTCCCTCTGGAACTCACTCCCACAACCCATCAGAGACTGCACCGACCTCACCACCTTCAAAAAACTCACAAAAACTCACCTCTTCAATCTGGCTTTTCATGTGTGATTGTTTTTGTATTATTTGACTTTAACTTTAACTATATATTTATTTGTTGTTCCTTTCTTCTCTTTTCTTTTCTCTTCACTATTATNCGCGGCTCTAAAATAAAACCCCCACGGACACCCCATCGAACTGCAAAGGTATCTCCCACGGGTTTGTAAATCCCAAGGGTCAATTACATGACCAGCGATGTCACTTACAAGATGAACGTTTGTTAGGGGTGTGTGTGTGTGTGTCACATGGGCGGCTGACAATGTTACTTCTGAGCTATTAGTCGAGTGCCCGTACTATCCATGTCGTCCCCATTTCGACCAATAAAAATATCCACCACAACCTGGAGTGTATCCCCCGCCAGTCCCCGTTCGAGGGGACCCTTCTAAAAAATTTATAACTTCAATTTTCGTAGTAACCACGTGAAACTCTCGTTGTACCTTCTCTAGATACCTATGGTAGAGAGTTGTGGGTAAACTTTGTCTTGACATTTGCTCTAACTGAAAGAAAATACCTTAATAAATGTTTAGTGAGGGAAAAATTGCAATAAGAAAAAAATTACAGTATATCATAGCAAGTATGGACAAAAATTAAATAAGAGAATAAAAAAATATTGGATATTACCTAGTATATTTGCACCCGGAGCCTCTTATTACCAATGTAATTACCACTGGTTGCAACTCTGGGTGACTCTATTGGTGACTCTCACGAGATGAGTGACTCAGAGAGTAAGCTTCCTCTCCTGAGAGGAGGTGAAACAACACACTTTTTTGAAGGAATTAGCAATCGCATCGAGCGATCGTGGCTTCGACTTGTGTTGCTAGAGGCCATGGGCACGCGAGAGTGAGCGCGTGACGTGTGTTTTACCGAGCAAGTGTGCTGTGTGTCGTCTCGGTTGAAATTATTTGTTTCTCTGGGGTTTCTGCCTTTTCAATGACTATTTATAATAAGCCTGACTATTTGTGTTGGGGGGGCCCGACTTTTTTTTTTCTCCAAAGGGGGGGCCTGACAGAAAAAGTTTGAGAACCACTGTTGTAGAGGTTGATTACTTGCACTTAGGACATTGTAAAATCAACAACCCCATTGAGAAGCTCAGTAAAGTCAAATAATGTCTATTTCATTGGCGATTATTTAATAAGGAATAAGTTAATTTAGGCCATTCGTTATAAACAAAAGTTACATATGAGGAAGTAATCACCCAGAAATGACCGATCCCTGTGTGAGTGAAAAGTGTGAGCTACTGTATTATGAACATGCAGGGCTTTGATAGGCCTACATTTACTGTATCCTGTATTGAGTTGATGTTATCTTACCAATGTAGACCAACCAAAAAGTAGTTTAATGATTCTTTAAGGAGTTTATGTATTAACCATTAAGCTGTTTTTCTGTGAGAAGTCCAACAACATTGATATTTAACCACTCCCACTCCGTTCCGAGTCTTCCGAATAATATTGTACACAGGAAGGCTTAAGCAAAACTCACGGGTAACAGGAATGTTATAAACTTACGTCTTATTGTGGTGTGGGCCAACAGAGCCAAGGTCCTCATATTGAAGTAACAACTTTTTTTTCTTCGCGTACTTGTTCAGTTTGTCAACATCACTTCCACTTTCCATCTTAAATTAAGTCAAAATTCGATACTAAATTACATAAAAGGATCAAATCGAAGTACACCGCTCACAGCAGCTCTTTGATTCCCCATGTTTGTTCTATTTTTGCTGCAGTATGTATGCTGCTTATATCCTTGCAGCTTCGATTCAGCTGACTTTGGATACAACTGCGTTTCGATTTCCTCGTCTACAGTAAACGTCATAACGTTACGTGGCTTGACAATACTGATAAATGAATCCAGACAAAAAACAAATCTTACATTGTTATAGTTAAAGAAATGTGTGTTGCACCTGTTTTAGACCATTGACGTTTTAGACGTTTGGTATTTATGTTTAGATATTTTTTTCATTATCTACTTGCATTTGTTTTAACCTGACATCTGCTTCTCTACATATTTCCAACTGGCCACCACCCATACACATATTTTTAACCAACTTACACCTGTGGAAGAAGGCTGACAAAATTTCCCAAAATATTTCGTTCAGGAACAGTGGTGTGCATACAATATCACAGGGTAAGGCCAATACTTTAAAAAAGGGGCATCCCTTGCATAAAGGGTTTATTTTTGGTTTATGCACCCAATGTCTCAGTATATGACTTTTGCCACAGCCACAACGGCAATGCCCAGTGTCTGGCTGCGGGGTTGGGTTGGGCACAGTAGGTTAGGCAGGTTTGGAAAGTTTCTTGTTGTTACATGAATGTAGTCATGTCAGCCGAATGACAAAGATATTATAGATGGTGGTATTTGTACATCAAAGTAATTAAGCAGGAGATGATTATTTGTTAAAAGTAAATACAGTTCAACAGGGCAATCAGTGTCAAATGTCATTTTATAAAAGTTGGGCAATCTTTTGTGAAAGATTATAAGATATAATACAAAAAAAAAGCTGCTGTTTGTTTTGGCTCACTCAGTTAGGTGTTGATGTTATTCGATGACATATTTTTGAAGGATATTTTACTGTAAGCTATCCTAATAAAATGTGGGTCTACCTGTTTGTTACATTGCCACCAGTGTTTTATGTTATTGCCTCATCATGAATCAACATGGACCAAATGTATTCCTCCCTTTAAAAAAACAAATAAAAAAAACACTTACCATGTCCATTTTGTTTTGTTGCACTGTTTAATTGCCGCTTTTCAACTTCAAAAGTGAGCTTTGTTAATTATACGGCTGTCCACGATTAAATAAACAGACACCTACCATACAGTCTACAAGAATTGCGTGTGAGTGTGCTTGTACATGCAATATACAGATGCATGACATTTGTAAGTCATATTTCTTTTGCCATTATTTTATTTTAAAACTTAACATATTTAGTAGAAAACAAAAGATGTAATGCATACATTTGACCATCCCCAGCATTGAATAAAATGTCAATTGTGGACACATAAATTACCAGCACATGATTATCTAAAACAGCTGGACAGATAAATATGTGAGTTACTTTTTGAAATCATGATCAAATTGGATTTTACATTCCAATCTTTGACTATTAAACTACTAATTCTCAATTTGCATGATAAATGAACTCCTGTAAGTGCATACAAGACGGTGCTAAGTTGAAGTTCAGATAAATCACTGTTTAAGTGCAGTACATTAACCATTCGTCAATAAATATTAATAACATCACCTAAACAGTATATCAAATATGTTCATCAGATGACAGACAGATCTCATTACCCTCATAAGACTTGTCACAATTCATTGTGATAATCACACAGTTGCCCTTTTCTGGGACTCATTTTCTGCCTGAGCCAACTTGTCCAGCTGTTCCTTCAGATCACTTGCTTCAGGTCGCACCTCTGGCTTCTCATGTAGCATTTTCTTGATGATTAGGTTCTGCAAAAACAACACCTTTAACTGAGATCTGTGTACAAACACTATTGTGTTGCCATGCTACAACATTTCAAACAAAAAAACTGAGATTGATATCTTGTAAAATACTTTTATTTGTTCTGCTTGTTATTAGTATAAACAGCAGCAGTTCTGTTTAACTCCCCCAGCTATAGAGATGGACAGCTGTTTTAACGGGGCAAACCTGTCTAAAAAGGTACTGCCTCATGTGGGAACTAATTTACTGCGGATAATAATTGATAATAAGAACATTGTAATACCTCTACTTGGAAGGCCCGTGAAAAGTCTGTCGGGAGAATCTGTCTTCTTGCATTTGTTAAAACCTGGTATTCATGCAGTGATAAAAGGATGAAAGAACATGTTAGTTAGCCTGAATCAAACAAATAATTCAACAATTGAGTTGAATGTTGCATATAAATACAAGAAGAGAAAAGCTGACAAATGATGGTAAAATTCTTGCGGCAAGTCTTTGTCTGTATACTTCACCTCTCCTCTTTCATGGCCAGAAGAGACTTTCCACAGGAGTTCCAAGTATATCAACCCCAGAGCAAATATGTCCACTTTTCGATTATATGTCTTCCCCACCTTTTGAGAAATAATAAAAACACAGAATTGCCTGATGTTATGCTAATATAACTCATAAGGAAAGTTTAGCATGTCATGCTAGTGAAGTAAATGAAGTTTTGGCTTCAAGTTATGTTTCATGGCTTATGTTTGTAGATACACTTAATTCACAGTTTGTTGTATTGGCAATAAAGTTCTTACATATTTTACTTTCACCTTTAATGCTATCAACTGGCTGCTATCTCAAAACTGTCACTGGTACTGGATTCGTATTTAGTAAGATGTGTAATTTCTACTTTATCTTTCATATTTTTATGAATGACTTCTTAATTCATATTCAGCTACCTTTGGCTCTTTACCTGATGTAACAAATGTACATTTCCCCTCTGTGGGATGAATAAAGGTATTCTGATTCTGATTCTGATTGTACAGCTCTCACTGCCAACAGTAAGAAAAGGTTTGGCTGGGCTAAATAAACAATAGAGCATGGAGTGGTGCAGTGATGTTGTATTTTCGTAGGCCCATCCAAATGTGAGCATCGCAAGGGCTTCCTCAACAAAAGCAATGTGATTTTTGCTTAGTGTCAACTCCGCTTAGCTGAAGGAGGACTCATGTCCGTGTGATAAAGTCTAGTAGTTTATGTAGTCACTTTTTAGCAACCACCATCTGTATGACACATACAAGCTTTCAACCTTCACCAGTGGGGAAATTACTGATGTATTTTCTGTCGTAGAACAAAACGTAAACATATTTTCAGTTTGTGTTAACCACAGACCTGATTTCAGGAATCTTTGACATGTTCAAATGGCGAGGGAATCGGAAATGGTAAAAAGCAAACTAAGTTTTAGGAGTCTTTCCTGCACCGCTCTATTGTGCTCGGCATATATAGTAATAGTTACTAAAGGTATAGTTGAAAATAATTAGTCCACCTGATTAAAACCAGTCGAAGGACATATTTGTTGAAATGAATACAGAAGAATTAAGAGTATACAGAATAGATCATCTCACTTGTTCAGGGGCCATGTAAGATTCGGTTCCTCTGTTCTCTGTTCTGTCAATCAAAGCGTCATCATCTGTGGTGACCAGACCAAAGTCACCAATCTTCACTTCTTTATCATCCAGTCCAAACAGGATGTTGTCAGGCTTCACAGAAAGAAAAACAATTGAAACAAATGAACACATGTGGAAGAAAATTAGAAGCTTGAAAAACAGTACTTAAGGGATAAACCAGCATTATATCTTTAACCACATGTGGGTCCCTTTCGGAAGAGTGTTCAATTTGATAAGATATCTTTAGGCTTCTGCTAATCATGAATGATCCTCTCAACATTCTTTATAATTCTTGTTGCATTTTGCTGTCTGATAGATTTTTCCCTTTAGACGATCAAAGCAGAGAGTAAAAGATTGTATTACTTGTATTCTCATTCTAATTTAAATGACTATTCACATGTAATATTAGGTGAACTGAAGCTTCTAGTAAAAATAATGTCTTGTGCTTCGAGCATTTCGGGGCAGGATCTTGCCTAACAGTTTTAAAATAATCATGGTGTTATTGTTGTTGGGAGGCAAACCTAGTACCCTAGTATCTTTATGACTGGACTGCACAAGGATCACTGGTTTCCGAGAGAGATCTGATTGTATAGAAGTTCATAGAAAAATGTGCCTGCGTCGCATTGATGTACTTCCTCAGTAAATATATTCCTGATGACTTTATGGATTAGATTGCTAGTTCAACACAGAATTATGTTCATTTAGTAAATGATGACCCCATTTACAGCAGCATATGCTTTAGGGCCTGGCTTATTCTAACATTTTGGTCACCTAATAATGGCTTGTTATTCTACCAATTATTCTGTTACACTGCAGTCTGGTCTCACCTTTAGGTCTCTGTGGATGTGCCCCCTTGAGTGAATATATTCAACTCCACTGACTATTTGCTGAGCAATGCTTAGACTTTCTTGTCGTCTCTTTGTGTCTTGCGGAGACTGAGTGTTCTTCTCATCAATCCATTCCTTAAGTGTTTTCATTTTGCACAACTCCATCTGAATATAAAGGAACTTTACAGATGGATCATCTGTAGACCTAGAAAGACAGACGAAAAATGTTTATAAAAATACTCTCCTCTGACTTAAAATGTAGACTTGAATGTTATATAGGCCTATACAAAATTCAGAATATAGCAGTGAAAAACTATTTCAAATGACAATATATAGTAATGAACAATAAGGTCTCTTCTCTGTGTGTTGTAATCCAAGCTTACCTGTTCTTTGGTTTATTGCTTGGATAGCTACGAGTGCCTGTTAACTGTTATCTATGGACTTATGTATCCTCTGATAAAGGCGCCCCACTCCCAACCATAGACTGTACACAGTCCCAACATGGAAGCGTTACACCCACCCTCCACTTTCCCTCTGAGAGTAATACTGTTAGCTCTGTCAGCTCCTTTGCTATAGTTTGCACTGCTAATGCTGTTAGTTAATGCTGTTAGTTAATGCTGTTAGCACCATTAGCAGCTAGCCGTCCAACCATTCCCATGTCGAGAGCTGTGTTCAGGTATCCCTGACCCTAACTCTGAATGAAAGATATGTATTGAATATTATATATATATATAGCCTGTTTAAGGTTAGGACGTGGACATTACTGGGCATCGCTGTAACCACCAGCTGAGCTTCCAGCTGAGCTTCCAGCTGAGATGCCGTCTTCGTAGCTTGTATCCTCGATCCAACAATTGAAATATCTGATGACATTATGGTGGAGGAGGTCTGATAATGTCCCCACCTCTCGAAAAGCTTTCCTGATCCAAAGGAGAACAACCATGGAATCAGTAAACAAAATATTTACATACATACTGCATAATGCACAGTTGAAACTTACTGCATACTTACTCGTCACTGCTTACAATCTTTACAGCATAATACTTCTCCTCTAGTTTACGCCTTGCTTTGTAAACCGAACCGTAGCCTCCAAAGCCAAGATACTCAATGTGATCAAAGTCTGAAGTAAACCTGTCGAGATCACCACTATTATTTAGGAAAAAAGGGTTCTTGATGGTAGATCAATAATTGGCAGAGAGATTTATTTTTACAGTATATATACCTTGACGGGGCGGATGTCTTCTTTTTGACAGCATGCTTAAAGGATAAGATAAAGACAGATTCAACATTTTGAACTGTGCTCTGATTATGACGTAAGTATTCTCTTTAATAATCATACAAATATTCTGTTGCCCTCTCCACATATAGAGTATTTAGAATATAGCTAATAATACCTGATCATTGGAAGAGTTTGATGAATCTGTGAATATTTCAGAGCCACTTGTACCCGAGGACATGCTTTGTGATGATTCAAGAGACTTCCTAGAGGAACATAATGAGAGGCATTGGTACAGCTTTTTTAAGCAATAAGCTATACACTCAATAGTGATTCAATAATAGGCTAAATAAGTGCCTTACAGTGAAGTCGACAACCTGGATGGTGCACCATTTTCAGACCCTAAGGGCATCTACACAAAAAAAGCAGTTAATTGTTAGAATGTAGCATACTATAAGATGATATATTTGAAGCCCTGTTGAAAGATCACATCAAATTATTTAATGTGATTTTCACAACTGTCTGATTTGCTTTTACAATTCTGAGAAAACATACCTGAGCTCTGGAAGGGTTGGATGTATCTGTGAATTGTATTGAGCAACTTGTACTCACTGACGTTCTTTGTGATGATGCCTCATGGGACTCCCTAGGGGAATACAAGGATAGACATGAGTACAGCTTTTTCTCTGTCATCATGTTCCACTCTAATCACAATATATTCAATTTTTTCTTTGTTTATTTCCATTTCACGTGATTCAGGTGAGAATACATTCTTAGTAATTTAGAACGATACATCAGAGGATGCGCTGAGGGTACTTTCTAGCTGTGTTTCGCCGCAAAAAGTTCAACTATTCCAACTTAAATATTTTTCAGACATTGCAGGACAAAGGCCCCACTTTGTCTCTCCCTGCTGAGAAGTCAAAGTGCCTTACTGTGGAGTTGATGATGATGATGATGGCGGTGCACCATCCTCCGACAGTGTTGACCTGACAGACACCTGAAATGCATGGAAAAGGTGTGTTAAACATCATCTTGGGGGAAAAAGGCCATTGCCTTGAAAAAAAATAAATAAAATGTATTTCCTCTAGCAGAAAAAAAAAATTCTTTCTTGATTGTTTTATGCAAAGGTTTTTTCAAAATAAAAGTTGTACAGCGGCTGACTAAAGCACCAGGAATAAACTACCCTTGAGTGCCAGTTTAGTAGGTGTACCTTACTATAACTGTGTTAGGATTCATTCATTGTATCTGTGTGAACCTAATAAACTGGCAATTGAGTGTATATTTCATGGTGATTGAAGTACATAAATATAAAATACCTTGCTGTCCCAATCTGTCTGTTCTTTAAGAGCAGACCAGGTAAGTCGAGCTGCATTTTGTCGGGCTTCTTTGGCACTCCTACCCTCAGCCACAGGGTACTCCTTGTTGTCTATTATTAATCTGTAGAAGAATCTGTGTTTTTTTAAAAGATGGAAATAGTTTAGATCAGAATGTTCAAATGTTAATTTTGTTTAACTATCTCTTATCATACTATTTTTAAGCATATATTATGGGTCTCGGATATATACGAATATATAAAAAACACGTCTATGATGTGTTTTGCTCAAAATACCAAACAGATCATGCATTTTAGATATCCCTCATATCCCTCTGTTTCAGCCCTGTTAGAGAATTGCTGATTCATGGTCAGTAGCTGCTGGCCCCGCCCCCTTTTGAGCACGGCAAGGCAAGAAGTGAGGTCTCCTCTCTGCCTGGAGATACTCAACTAAATGCTGCCGTGATTAAATGCCATATCATGTTCCAAACCACTTCAAGGATTATTTCTGAAACAGTATGGAGCTCAAATGCTTTTTTTCTTGCGGGTTTAGTACAAGGTGAGTTCCTTTTTTTATTTCCTGCTTTTTTACATATAATAATAATAATAATAATAATAATAGATTTAATTTGTTAGCGCTTTTACAGGTGCTCAAAGACGCTTTACAGATAATAGTGAAGAGAAAAGAAAAGAGAAGAAAGGAACAACAAATAATATATTTAAAGTTAAAGTCAAATAATACAAAAACAATCACACATGAAAAGCCAGATTGAAGAGGTGAGTTTTTGTGAGTTTTTTGAAGGTGGTGAGGTCGGTGCAGTCTCTGATGGGTTGTGGGAGTGAGTTCCAGAGGGAGGGGGCAGCGACGGAGAAGGCTCTGTCCCCCCAGGTCCGGTGATTGGTGCGGGTGGGGATGGATAGGAGGGGTTTGCTTCTATGAGCTCGACGGGAGCAGCTAAGGAAGGTGTGGTGGGTGCAGCCAGGTCTGTGAGGTAGGGGGAAGGGTGTGTGGTGGCTGCAGCAGTTCTGTGAGGTGGGGGGAAGCGCGTGTGGTGGTGCAGCAGTCTCGTGAGGTTGGGGAAGGGTTGTGGTGGTGCAGCAGGCTCGTGAGGCAGCGGGAAGGGGTGTGGTGGGTCGCGCAGGTCTGTGCAGGTGGGGAAGGGGTGTGGGTGGTGCAGCAGGTCTGTGAGGTAGGGGGAAGGGTGTGTGGTGGTGCAGCAGGTCTGTGAGGTAGGGGGAAGGGGTGTGGTGCTGCAGCAGGTCGTGAGTGAGGGGGGAAGGTGTGTGGTGCAGCAGGTCTGTGAGGTGGCGAAGGGGTGCTGGTGGTGCAGCAGGGTCTGCTGAGGGTTGGGGCGGGAAGGGTGTGGTTGGTGCCGGTGCCAGCCAGGTCTGTGAAGTGGGGGGAAGGGGTGTGGTGCAGTACTTTCAGTCCAACGCCTACTGCATGCACAGCGTTAGAAAATCGGGCCTTCAAAATAAAAGTTTGACTTTTTGTCCCAAAAAAAAAAAAAAAGGAAACTTTTTTTTTCCTATTTCTTTTTTTTTTCACTCACACATCTGCGACCCACTCGAATCGGGTCCAGAGAACCACTGCCGTAGAGGATGCCATTGCAGTAGTCGAGTGTTGATGTGATGAATGCATGAATCAGGCTTTCAGCAGCAGAGGAGGAGAGTGATGGGCGGAGANAAAAAAAAAACATAAAAAAAAAAAGAAGAGATTTTTTTAAAAATTATTGATTCGAAAATAATATTATACAGTACTATTACGTCTGGGTCTCTGTGTTTCATTAATGAAACACAGAGACCCAGACGTAATAGTACTGTATAATATTATTTTCGAATCAATAATTTTTAAAAAAATCTCTTCTTTTTTTTTTTATGTTTTTTTTTTTTTATAACCATTTTTCCTCCTGGTATCTCGCGCCCCCCCTGTCATGCCTCTGCGCCCCCCACTTTGAGAACCACTGCTCTACAAGAACAATAAACAAATCATAAGGATGTATACAGTATACATAATGTGTTTTTTAAACATATATTTGTAACTTACTGTATGTCCCTGAAGTAATTTTCCTCCTGATAGTAGCCAATTCAATTGAGATCATTTTAAAGCAGTAGCACATATTTTGTATGGGGCTTAAAGGAGTAGAGTAAGTTCATAACAATTTACAATATGGATGGTTACTAGAGGCTTACTATTATAGTGTGCAAAATCAACTGATTTAATGCACCCCAACCCCACCAACATTATTTCAAATCTGCCTGAATAACAGAATTATGACAATTGCTCTCCAGATTCACCCAGAGGGTAGTCCTGAATGGTAAAGTCTATCCTGAGGGTGTGGGGAAGACGAAAAAGGAAGCCAAGTATAATGCTGCTAAAAATGCCCTGAGAGACTTGTCAGGGGGCGTACATCAGGTATGAGTTGCAACAGTAAGATTTTATTGTCCTGTTTTCTTAACAAGCCCCTATTATTAAAGGTAAAATACATATGGCTTGAAATGTGCTTTAGGTTGTGACATAGCATTTGTGTTCTCAAGACTGCAGATGTCAATTACAACCCTACACCAACTCAACAAAATTTCATTGGATTAATTGACAACTACTGCCGGAAAAAAAACCGCTGCCATACATTCATCGAAGACAGAAGATGGGGACCAGCCCATGAGCGTCAGTGAGTATGAACCTGAACCTCTGTAACCTGAATAGACACTAAAGTCACTCTATGCTAACTCTTCATTGATTTCCTGTTCTAAACAACATTCAAATGTTAAAATTATGAACTAAACTCCTCCTTTTAAAAAAAAACACAGATTTTCCTACAGATTAATAATCGAACACAAGGAGTATCCTGTGGCTGAGGGAAGGATTGCCAAGGAAGCCAAACAAAATGCAGCTAAACTTGCCTGGTTTGCCCTTCAAGAGCAGTCAGACTGGGACAGCAAGGTATTTTATATTGTGCCCTTCTTTAAATCCTCAAAAATCCTCAATTGAAGTTTAATAGGTCCACTCCACAATAAAATAGTTTAATACAACGGTGATAGCAAGGTGTACTTAATTGGCAGCTAAGGGTAGTTAAGCAGAAAAGTAGTGGTTTTATTTCCCTAAAGCTGCATTTACATGGTACACCATTTTGTCTTTGCTCACTGCGAAGTTGGGCACAGATCTTTGCAGTGAAAACTGTTAGTTAAGTTTATTTTATACGGCTGTCATCAGGTTGGTTGTGTGTCAAAAGGTTAGCAGTAAATGAGGTTATAGTTGAAATCATTTTAACTTTGAGCGCATCGCTCAAAACAATTTACGGGTGGTGCCCGATGCCGAGGGGAGCTCTTCCTCCTGGTGTGGGCGGCACTGCCCTTTCCATAGAAACGCAACGGCAACATCAGTGAAGAGACTTTTTACCGCTGGTGCTGTGAAAGCAGCCTAATGCTCTCAGAGACCATATACAAGTCAGCCCTTTACATTAAACACACAAGCAAGGCATTTCATTGTTTCTGTTTGATGGATTTAATATATTGTATAGCCTCTTTTCTTCTGATAATGTCTAATGTTATGTCAAACACCCTCTCTTTCATTTTAGCTGTCCGTCAGATCAACAGTGTCTGAAGGTGGTGAACCGCCTGTGTTGTCAACGCCATCAACTCCCCTGTAAAGCACTTACTCTGAATTCACACCTGGGAGTGGCAAAGTGCTGACTGCGGCAAGCGTTCATGCGTAAAGCTGCGCGTGCCGCTACAACCTCAGCTTTTTTTTATTTGCGGCAATGTGCGGCAATGTGCGGCAATGTGCGGCCACACAAAAGTTGGGGATAGTTTAACTTTTTGCGGGCTAGTGTGGCTGGAATGTTCAGGCAGCAAACCCTAATGTGTTGATCTAAATCAAAATGGGGGATTCATTTTCAGTTCACATCGGAATTATTTGTGCGGCAGTGGCTCAGTCAGTAGGGGCTTGGACTATAGAGAGGGTCCCAGTTCCCCTCCTGGGCCATGCTGTGGTCCCCTTGAGCAAGACACCGGACTTCCCCCCCACTCCCTATTGCTCCCTGGGCGCTCCACAATCCTAGTTCTTAGATGGGTTAAATGCAGAGGTGACATTTCACTTTGTGTGCTGTGTGCATGTACAGTACGTGTGACTATTAAATATGGTTTCATCCTCCTTTTCTATATCTATTAGTGACACATAGTGACAGAAATAAATAGCCTCACACCCGCAGAAACATTTAGTTATTGCTGCAAGAGGCACTTCGCTGCTCCCCTGTATGAATTTTGCATTATTGCCATTGGTATGAAAGCAGAAAATGGAGTGAAATACCAAGAAGGCTTTACTCATGTCTGTCCTTGTATTCCCCTAGGGGTTCGTATGAGGCATCATCACAAAGAACGTCAACAAGTATAAGTCCCTCAATAACATTCGAAGATTCAACAAACCCTTCCCGAGCTCAGGTCTGTTTTCCCGGCATCTGACGCGTGGTGACATTAAATAATAAACATGATATTGAAAAGGGCTCCAAGAGGTACATTATTTGATTTGGAACATGCTACATTCTAACAATTATCTTTTTTTTTTGTATAGATGCCCTTAGAGCCTGAAAGTGATACACCAAACAGTTTGTCAAATTCACTGTAAGGCACTTATTTATCCTATTATTGAAACAGATTGTATAGCTTAACGCTGGAAATCTGTAACAATGCCTCGCATTATGTTCCTTAGAGAGTCTATTGCATCGTCACAAAGCATGTCCACGGGTACAAGTGGCTCTGGAATATTCACTGATTCATCAAACTCTTCCAAGGATCAGGTATGTTCTTTATACCACAATCTTTTTTGATTAGATTTTTATTATCTTACAAGACAGATATAACAAGTTAAACAGCCATACATTACAAAACTAATGCTGGAACACATGCATGCACATGGCCTTGCATCAGTACATGGTTTTCATCCAAAACATATATATTTTGTTGTTATTATTTATTTTGTTGAATTTTTTAACACTGTTTAGCTGGAGTTAGAGCTACATCTATGTTCAATATATCAGAGTGTATTTCCAAGTACATCCCAGACGGCCTTAACAGCTGAGAATAGAGGACCATACCGAATTTACAAGGGTGCACACCTCCCCTCAAAACTATGGCAGCATAAGCCTGAGAGGGTTTGATTCATCCTTGTGTAAAATGGGTGATGTATACTCTGCAGTATTTTATAACACATTTGGAAAGTGATACTGAGTTCCAAAGGTTTTCCCGCTTGTTTCTTTGTACTTCTACCCCACTACATCGAGAGGTGTCAGGGTTGAGGGTTATCAGGACCCAAACGCAGAATGAGGAGAAGAGGTGCAAAGTATAACAAAAAGCTAGCTTTATTTAACAAAAGCTGCTGACAATGAACAAACAAGAAAAAACGTAAAATCCATAAACCAGTAGCACGAGGAAGCATCCAGACAAAAACCGACAGGGACAAACATGGAGGTGCAAGGAAGACAACGACCGAACATGGAGCAAAGGGGAAAACAAGACTAAATACACAGAAGGGTAATCACAGGACAAGACAAAGCTGGGCAGGGGAGGCAGAAACACAAGGGCAACAGGTGAACACAATGAGAGAATCAGACACAGGAAGGAAGACAAGGCAAAGGGAGAACAGAAATTCAAAATAAGACCGGAAACTAAACACACAAAACTAAAATCATGACAAGAGGTAAAAGTGTACTTTTACTGCACTACATTTATTTATTACCTTTAGTTACTTTACATATTTGAATTTATAATGTGAAATTTAAACCACACTTAAATAAGACTTTAGTTACATCTGGAGTAAATTCACAAGCTACCCTGCAGTATACAAAGTCATTAAAACTTGCTTTTACCAGCTTTGATAACACTAATCAGAATCATCAGAATCATCAGAATCAGAATGCAGCAATGATTATAATTAAAACATATAATATATACTATTCTGAAATGGGCCAATCTGCACAATGAGTACTTTTACTTTAGGTACTTTAAGTATATGTTCATGCTAATACTTTAGTACTTTTACTTGAGTAACATTTTGAATGCAGGACTTTTACTTGTAACAGAGTACTTACTTTTACTTAGGTACAAGATCATAGTACTTCTCCCACCTCTGTCAGAATCGGTGAAAAACTGTGAAAGCTGCTTACTCTATATGTGTAGAGGGCAAAAATAATAACAGTGTTATTATTAAAGAGTATACAACAATGAGAGCAGGGTACCAAATGTTGACTGTACCAAATGTATGTTATTCTTTTGTCCTCTAAGCATCCTGTCAAAGACAAGATCATAGGAAATACTGAAAATCAGACATCCACCCTTTCAAGGTATGAAAATAACCCTCTTAAATATCTCTCCCAACAATTGTTGTACAATCAATAACCCTTTTGCCTTAACAAAACTGTTGATCTTGACAGGTTTACTTCAGAATTTGATGTCACTGAGAGTCTTGGAAAAGGGGCCTACGGTTGTGTTTACGCAGCAAGAGACAAACTGCTGAAACAGGGTTTTGCTGTAAAGATTGTCCGCAGTAACGAGTAAGTATGCAGTAGTACAGATCAACTGCGCATTATGTAGTATTTATGCAAATACTTTGATTACTGATTCCATTGTTGTTCTCTTTTGGATCAGGAAAGCTCTTCGAGAGGTGGGGACATTGTCAAAGCTTCTCCACTGTAACATCGTCAGATACTACACATTTTGGATGGAGGATTCAAGATACCAAGGTCACATTACAGCTGGAAACTCAGCTGGCAGCTCTTCCCAGTAAGTCCAATACACTAACCTGGATCAGGCTATAGACAGCATGCAAAGCATATCTTTGATTCAAGGCTGGGCCACGACTACCTGCACATGGCTCATAAAGCATAAACATAAGCAAAACATAAAGAGAAGAAGTGACTTTATCAAAAGAGAGCAATATTATCATGTTTCTCTCTCTTTTCTTAGGTCTATAGAGGATCCATCAGCAAAGTACCTCTATATTCAGATGGAGTTATGCAAAACAAAAACCCTTAAGAAGTGGATAAATGAGAAGAACACTCAGTCTCTGCAAGACTCCAAGAGAAGACAAGAAAGTTTAGCCATTGCTCAGCAAATAGTCAGTGGAGTCGNCTACGCCCTGATGGCAACAGACGAAATTCATGTGAAAGTACATGACCTGGAGAGTTCAGAATGCTCTCTGCTTTCCGCAGAATCTGTTGGTTACAGAAGGAATTTAAGTCTCTCTGCTTCACGCCGATGATCTTGGAGCAGGTTTTAACAATGCTGTTCAGGCTGTTCCTGTCTTTCAGTGTAAGGCTATGGAACCAGCAGATAAAAGAAAAACAAATAAGGCTCTCAATGAATGCTTGGTAAAAACGACAAATAATGAAAGGCCTGACAGAGAAAGAGTTCAGTTTGCGAAGAAGGTGCATTCTCTGTTGACCCCGCTTCACAATACACTCAGTATTCACATCAAATTTGAGGTGGTCATCGAAAATGGTCCCAAGTATTTGTATGATGTGACCATTTCTACATTGTCATTGTGTATGATGCACTCCTTAGGAACATCCTTGTGACTTCTAAAATCAATGATCAATTCCTGGGTTTTAGAGACATTTCAATCCAGAAAACTGTCATCACACCAGGAAATAAAATCAGTAAGAGCACACTCGTGGCCTGATTCTGAGCCGCAACGGAAATTCTTACATTCATCCAAACACTATATAGGGCAATCATTTTCATGTTGCTCCCAATAGTGAAAAAATATTGTCAAATAAATATTGGAAAAAGCTAATAAAATAGGGGTTATGCAAATCTTTCATACATTGGTGGTTAGAATGATAACATGGTGTTGTCTAATATTGTTTTCATATAAATAATATCTTTGGCCTCAACTTAATTCCAGTGATTTTTTAACAGAAACAATGTGATATGGATTCATGTTGCCCACCACTGTTTTTTTTGTTTCTGCTCTTTGATAACCCGCCATTAAGTAACATTACCCTCCTTCGTTTGAGAATGTCAACAGTTCCATGGTATTTTTGGACTCAGTGAAGCACTACCACACATTGTAAAGAAATGTATCACTTTAAAATAAAAAGCTTGTAATATATTATATTTTGAAAGTAACTTGCCTAACACTGGACATTAAAAAGCCATTAGCAGCTGTGACGAGTCAAGCAGTGAATTTTAAAACAGATATAATTTTAAACTTGTAATATAGCTACAATGATCAGACAGTCAGCAGTTACAAATCAAATTACCATCTGCAAAAGTACAAAGTTGTTTGTGAGGAGCACATTATTTATTGTGCGTATATGTGTGAGGGTGTGTGTTTGTGTGTGTGCTTAAGATTGTTTTGCTCAAACTCTTAAGGCCTATATTCTCTTTCTCACCTGAAGAACAAACGTACCATTGCTTTTGAGATTTTAATATCGTAGTTTTGCGAGACAAAGGAGTCAGCCATTGTAATCCTCAAATAATCTATCTTGAATAATAGGACTTTTATTCTAAACATTCAAAAAGCAAACCACTTTAATTGCTAATGCACTTGTCAAGTGTTTGACTCCACCACGGATGCTCCTTGATAACGCTCAACATCAGAAGCACAGACAATTTATTCTCCCCACTAGCCTGAATGTGAAGAGGCTCAAGCACTTACTTCCGTTTTTGCAGTGGGTGGGTGGAGACTGCTTTTGCTGCTCTATGTTCAAGTTGGAAAGTTACTTGACTTAGCAGAGAACTGACAATGAATGTGTGGGAGGGCAGACATTAAAATGATGATGACAAGAGGAGAATGTTTACAATGTACGTTTTTTTTTAAACTTTTAGATATTATGAGAACAGGGATTTTGAATTCAACTTCAAACAGATGTCAGTGAAAAATATTATGTCATTTTGTTTTTTTAGTAAAGTGTCTTCAAAGATATAATTTATTTAAGTTCACTACTGAAAGTTCTTCTTGCTTTTAACCTCAAAGATGGTTACTTGAGCTACCGGCTTATGCTAATGGCTCACTAAAGTTGCATTTAAAATTAACTTGAGACTGGAATTGCTGTCCTGATTTAGCATTGGACTAAATTTGTTGGACTTAAAACAGAAAAATAATATCTGATATCTGACACCTACACCACCCACAAGCACAGTCAGAAATGTAGTATTAGTAGTAGTAGTAGTAGTAGTAGTAGTAGTAGTAGTACTCCCAAAGAGCTGTACAATGTTTAACTTTTACATTTTAGTAAGTAAAGTAAGTAAGTAAAATAATTGGTGGAGTTTAAAAAAAGCTAATTAAAGTTTATGGCATAACCTTAAATAAGAAAATATTGCTTAATTATTCTGCTGCTGTCAATGATAACACACAAGGTCTAATATTAAAGCCCCTGTCACACTGTCCCGAAATTGGCACCTGATGGACACACGATTAAGGAAATGTAAAAATTCGGCTCTGATCGTAACAACATCGGGCCATTCGTGAGGGCATCTTAAGCCATCGTATGACCGCCGGTGGAGTTTCTCAGGCTCCGGCAGCAACTTCGGGAGCGGTGGCAACATCTTTGGTATCAAAGATGGCATTAAGATGCCCTGACGAATGGCCCGATGTTGTTACGATCAGAGCTGAATTTGAACATTTCCTTTATCGTGTGTCCATCTGGTTGTTTTATTGCACAACAAAATCATGTAAACATATTATGTAAATAACCCAATTTGTGTTCTGTGAAACTGAAAAGGATATAATATATTATTTTGAAGGCGAGGAAGTTGTTGTTGCTATGGAAACAACATGACGGAGAAAACTTAATATCTTCTACATATAAAGACGGAGAAAGTAAAGAACAAAGTTGGAAAATATCAGTACAGTATCATAATACTTTCGTTGCAGTTGTATGTCTTAAATGTAATGTAAATGTTGCCTACGTGTGGTTCGGGGCCACCTTCGTGCGAAATTCACAATTCCATATTCGTGTGTCCATCGGGTGTCAATTTCGGGACAGTGTGACAGGGGCTTAAAGGGCGGAGGTGTGTTCATGAATGTTCACTGTTGTTTTAATGTGCTCTGAGGTTGTGAGTGATAGAGTGAAAGGAGAACGGAGTGAAGCCTTCCCAACCATCACAAAAGATAGTGGAACATAGAGAGATTATACTAAGTGGGATTAAGGAAATGCCTCCTTCTTGTTCCACTAGGTCTGTCTGCTCCAGTCCCGCGGGGCAGGAAGGGGAAGAAGATGAAGATCCAGTCCAGTGCTTTTGACATCCACAAAGCCGAGTGGCTCAGGAAACACAACCCAGAGCACATGCTGCAGGACGACGGCTACAAGAAACACCTCAAACACCACTGCAACAAGTACGGCTTTCCTCACCTTACATTGTACAAGACAAATACTTCACCACATTTTGTTTTGGTTGAAATGACTTCTAATATTACAGTTGGACTGAAAGAATTGCTGGTTTATTCCTTGAACAAGGTATGAAGTATGTGTGTACCTCTTCAGGGACTTCAGATCAAAAACTGTAATAGCTAATCTGACATAAATAATTCAGTCTCTTTTTGAAGTTAATGTATTTTCATATCATATTATATTATGTATTTATTTCAAAGAGGACCATGCATACAAATACATTCATCTCCGAAAAGAGATTAGCTACAAGCTATTTGAGCTAATAGCTAATCTGCAGTCCTCAGGCAGGTACATAACAATCAGCAAACACTAAACACATTGCATCACCTCTATCACACAAACAATTATAAAACATATTTAAATACAGGTCAATCAAATAAACATAGTACAGTTCAAATATAACATTACAATACAGTTACAATTAGAAAACTCAGATGACGTGTTCCTTGTTTAATAAGTATGACACCAAATTAGATTGTGCCAACTGTATATGACAACAACCAAAATATACAATATTCTATTCTTTACGAAATATAAATACTCTTGACTTTATAAAATAGTGTTCTTATGTCAGAGACACACTTTAAATATGATATCTAACTGCATTTAACCTGCTCACAGTGCACATGGTGACTAATAGTCTATGGTTGGTTTGATTTATCTCTTGTGGGAGTGTGTGTCTCTGTGTCTGTTTTTAAACCTTTATGCTATTATAGCAACTGGCAACGGGTCATTATTCTCTTCCACCACATATTGTGTCCGTTTCATTTTGCTAGAATAAAAGCCTGAAGTGTTTGAAGATACAATTTGTATCTTCAAACACTTCAGGCTTTTATTTTTTGAAACATTTTTTGTACATGGCTCAAATGTTAACTGTGGCACCTCCAAGCCACAGTAATTATGAGGCCCTAAAAGGTCTATCGGAGCCGACAGTCGGCTGATTCATTAACGGACGTGCATCCCATCGCGACCAGCTGACTGATGCGATGCTTAATGACACTTCAGCTGCGCTAATGGCCGTCATAGATCTCTCTTATTTACAGGGGAAAAAAGATGGCTGCTATCAAAACATAGGCCGCTGAGATATAAAGCCTAGTCCTTTTTTAAAAGGGGGGCTTGTGTCCGCAGAACGCTGCGGCGTCCATAGAAAGTTCTCCATTGTTCCCCTGCCTAGTTGTGCTGAATCCAGGGATTGTCTGATATGTGACACGCCAGGCAAACTGGGACACAGTCAGCAGGGTTTGCTGACTTGTGTGTTTTTTTTACTTTGAGGAGCTGGAATGTGGCTGGTGACGGGGGGGGGGGGGGTCACTAGCCTCCTTAACAGAACCGTAAATGTAAAGACTCCTACACAGGAAGGGACCCTTTAGGAACTAGTGGGAATGCAATGAAGCAGATCGTTTCCAGAAGTTTTCAAAGACAAGCGTGTCAGAAAATCTAATCATCGTATTATAATTGTCTTGTTCTTCAATCAGTGTGTGTAGTTTGGTACTGTGTAAATATCACACATCCTGCACGTGTTAGTGTATTTAAGATGTGAAAATGTGCTTTTGACATTCAAAGACTGAAAAGCTTTATTCGTGACACACAAAATAGCTTCAGTGCTTTTTGGCATTGGACATTTTGGGCCTCGTGCTCCTCAAACAATAAAACCTAATTTTCTTTTAATATGGTCTTCTACATTACTTTACTTTTACCTATACATGTATCTCTTTATTTAGTTATTTATTTAATTTACTAGCTAGGACCGGGAGGGGGGGAGAAAGGAAAAAAAATATATATATTGACTGTATAAATGTAAACTCATTTTGCCTGACTCAATAAAAAAAATATTTAAAACAATAAAACCTGCAATAAAATAGTGAAATAATTTAAATAAGTTGCTGGATAAAGGAATATATCAACATGTAAAAAAGTACAAAATGTAAAACTAAGTCTAGTCAATTAATTATGTTATACTGTAATAATATATACAAATAAGGACTATTAACCGATGTCAGAGGAGCAGTAACTATGAACATACATTGTGTGAACGATGACACTTCACAGAGCTCAGGAGTTTAACAGTCTTACAGCCTGTTGGATAAAACTGTCCCTAAGTCTGCTGGTTTTGGATTGCAGGACAGTTTGGATGAGGCTCATTAAGATCTCATGTGCTTTGATTTGGATTCAAGTCTGTGACTCAGCGACTCGCTGTTACGCTGGTTTCCTGTGAACAGACTATGAGGGATTATTTTCATGCCACACATCATGTCATGCATTAAGACAGACAGACACACACACACACACACACACACACACACACACACACACACACACACACACACACACACACACACACAGTCAGGAACACAGACTGGGATCAGAGTGATGAAGGGCTGCGCTGACAGGCAGAGGAAGCAGCAGCTGCTCCTGGGCGGCTCCACACTGAAGGGTGGAGGAGGAGAAAGGAGGAAGTTCAACACTTTGATTTACCAGAGCTACAAGTCCAGACTGGTCACCACAGACATCCATCACTCTGGCACACACACACACACACACACACACACACACACACACACACACACACACACACACACACACACACACACACACACACACAGTCTGTGTCTGAGCAGGGTCAATATTACAGAAGGTGTGAGGTAGATGGGAATCTATGACCTGGTGTGAATGACAGTCAAAGTGCTGCAAAAAATATTATGATTTCTTTGTTTTTTCCACAAAACGACAGCAGGTTTGAGTACATGTGTGTTTGAAGGGAACGTTTGTTTGTCTTGAGAGAGGATTTTCTTAGTTCTGACCTCATAGACTGCATACATAAGTTGGTCACCTGTCTGATGCATTTTGTGGATCGTATGTAGAGAATAAACCACAACACAAAACTGTCTGGAAAGAGAGTTGTTTTTCAGTCTTCTAGATCATATTATTCTTAATTATATATTCACCTTTTGAGATATCAGAGTTTTGGCAACAGGTGCTAGACAGTTGTGCTGCTCCACTGGTGTGTTACTAATGGGGAACATTTATAATTGTCCTTATCTACTCTGGCTTGATTAACAATTTGTAATTGCGGTGTGGTAGGGGCTTTGATTCAGGAAAGCTAGATGTGCCAATTTTCCTGAATTTCCCGACTCATTTGGCACGATCGGAGAATACTGTATCTCCTCTGAGATGTAACCATTCTGTTAAGAGTAATTGTAGGACAGATAATAACTCCACAGTTGTATCAATGCCCAACAGAGAGTCTCGCTCAAATGCCAGGAATCCTGAAAACCTCCACATTTTGCCAACAGCCAGCATTACAGGACGGAATTGAAAAATCATTCTGCGCTTAGACAAAATGATTACACGGCAGGCTTTGTACATTAAGCAAAAGACGTTACGGCCTGGCACACCACAGCTCCCACCACTTCACTGTGTCTTCCTTTCAAAGCCTGCCGTCTGCGATGTGTGATCATGCATCACAGAGCTAATGTCTCCCCGGTGAGTCAGCCTCTCACTACCTTGTCAGCCTCCACTTCCCAACCTTCATCTGCTGCCAGAGCACGACCACATGACGACTGGAGAGAGACGGCTGTCTGTTCAATCGGGGTCCTCGGAGCCTTTCTGTGGAGCCGCCCACTCTCTGTGTGGTCTATACATCATCCTCAGTTAAAATACAATACACCACATTAATTACATATGAGTTTATCTGCCAGCTCTAAGGATTCAAAGCTGTACACACAAAGAAAATCCTAAACTCAGACATCCTTATTTGCAAGAATGCTGTAGTTTATGTGAAACGACATGAATGTGTGTGTGTGTGTGTGTGTGTGTGTGTGTGTGTGTGTGTGTGTGTGTGTGTGTGTGTGTGTGTGTGTGTGTGTGTGTGTGTGTGTGTGTGTGTGTGTGTGTGTGTGTGTGTGTGTGTGTGTGTGTGTGTGTGTTCTGCTCGCTCAGCGTTTGTGCCTGCTTTGTTGTGACCACTGGGTTTTCTGTGTGCAGGGTGCTGCTCAGGGTCAGAATGCTCTACTACCTGAAACAGGAGGTGATAGGAAGCCAGGCCCAGAGGGTTTTAGACGGCGTGGACTCCAGGTGAGCGGACATCACTCTACACACACTCACTGTTCTCATCGTTAGCTTTTTTTCTTCAAACTGCTTAACACTCTTGAAAAACATAATGCAATAGATGGTAACTAACACTTTGCCTGGTCCCAGATCAGCTCAAATGATATAACAGCTGATTACATGCTTTAGGTCAGATTGATTTAGCAGATGTAATCCAACACTACGCACCCGGCAGGGTTTCCGAACCGAGGTGAATTAACTGCCTCATAGATTTCTCTCCTTGAGTGGAGTGTGGCCATTAGCATATGGTATCAACCTGTTGAAGGAAGAATCATCTGATGAAACCACATGAATAAGAAGGTTGTAGAGCTCCACCTGCTGGTGAAAGGCAGGAAGTTCTTCTATTCTACAGCACTGTTTAAAATGGTTGATCAAGCTGCTTTTAAATAAGAAACCCCCATAGAAAGTTAAAGGAAGCTGCCTTTTGGTGTTTCACAAGAAAACCCCTTCATGGAGAGTATTGTGTTTGGCCTCACGAACACTTAAACATGTGTGTATTAATACCAAATTATTAAAGCAAATGGAAACATAACAAAAAGACGATCATTGGATTCCACCAAATGATGACTCTTTAAATCTCCTCCTCCTCCTCCTCCTCCTCCTCCTCCTCCTCCTCCTCCTCCTCTGTAGTGATATAAAGATCTGGGTGCCAGACCCTGACCACTCAGAGCTGCCGGCCTTGTGGTGGGACGCCATCGCTGACAAGTGTCTGCTGCTGGGTGTCTATAAGCATGGTGAGAAACCTCAGCTCTTACTATGTGTTGTTTTTAGGGCTGTCAAACGAGTAACATTTTTAATCAGATTAATCACAGCTTAAAAATGAATTAATCATGATTAATCACCATTCGACTATGTCCAAAATATGCCATTTCTTTATGTATATTGTTGTGGGAATGGAAAGATAAATGAAAGAAGGTGGATATATCCATTTAACATACAGTATTAGTATGTATGTTTATTATAACATTGTTCTGTGTGTCAAAATGAAAGACAGCCCACACACCTATCAATCATCAAACCATGGGGTCTTATTTCATTACGTGTTGATTTCTATCAGCACGTAATGTTGTATCGATGTATAGAGAGATGTACTACAGCAAAAGTATTCTCCGTGGCCAGAAGACATTATCAAAGATGTTCTATTGAGAAGACGATCACTACGTGACAAAAGTTTTCAAAACCGTTTCTAGTCTTCGGTATTTCCAGACAAGTGGCTACTGAAATCAATCTTACTAACTGCTGTCTGTGCAATTTACTGGGCGCGAGTTGGCGGACTTTATTTTGCTTACTTTAACATCATTTTTCATGGTGGGGCTAAGGTGGGGCTAAACCATTTCTTGGTATGGCTGTAGCCTACCCCAGCGCTGCCACTGGTGGGATGTATGGGGCGGGCCATTCTACACATGTGTTAAATGCGTTAAATATTTTAACGCAATTAATTCAAAAAATTAATCACCACCGTTAACGCGATCATTTTGACAGCATTAGTTGTTTTATTTAAATATTTAGGATTATCCAAATAAGAAACATGTGCATTAAACAGGAAACCCTAACCCTAAAAAATATAAGAAAGTTGCTTTAAAACAGTCACAATGTTTACAACACGTAGTATTTGTGTTGTGAGTAAAACATTTGAACTGGTCATTTAGTTTTTACAGTGTTTAGGTCTATTTTCCATTGATAGCAGGATGTCATGCAGCTTGTGTGTGCTCCCTATCTGAGGGTTTCCATGAATTATCCTTAGCTAACCCTGTTATTTGCTTTTCCTCCTGTGCTCTCCCAGGTTATGAGAAGTACAACACTCTGCGTGCGGACCCCACTCTGTGTTACCTAGAGCGTGTGGGACGTCCAGATGAGAAGGCCATCGCTGCCGAACAGAGAGGCAACGACTTCATGGACGGGTTCGTACAAACATTATGTGGACTTGTCTTTAATGTGCATAACTTTAGATATTTATTAAAAGAGTGTGTCAGCTGTAAAAATGACTGTGTGTGTGTGTGTGTGTGTGTGTGTGTGTGTAGGGATGTGGATGACCCAGAGTACAAGCCTGCCCCCGCCCTGCTGAAGGACGACATGGAGGTAAGGCCACGTGACCCACAGCTGCATGCTGGTCCTCTGATAAAGAGAACTTTGACCGCTGTGTATTTGAGCTTGGATTTGATTAATTGTAAAAGCCATCAGTTTGTTAACCTTATGTTCCTTGCTTGCGTGTGTGCTCTGTAATAATCACACTCTGTCCTCTGACGCAGGATGACGCCTCTTCTCCTGGAGATCTCGTTGTCGTTGACAATGCCGGAGGTGAGTATTAGATGCTTGTAATCCACAGTGGATTATTTTTGCTGTGATGAAAATAAAAACAGGCTTTCCACAAGCGGGGGAAAGTTGTGAAATGTAAAGTTAGGTAAGTTTATTTATATAGCACGTTTCTACAACGAAGCAATTCAAGTGCTAAGTGCTCCACGTGCTTTACAATACAAATATTTAAAGTATTCGGACATAGTGCAAAAAAATCATTTCTAAATTACAATTCAATTTAAAAAAATAAAAAATAAAAAAAATAAATAAATAAAAAAAAGCTAAAGTATAATAAGACTTGTATAACATACTAGAACAAAAATGACACTGCAGTGTAAGATATAAATTGATTATTTTAATAAAGGCAGCGGCAAATTTAAAAGTCTTATTTTAAGGTCAGAATCTGAAATCCTTTATTTGTACAATAGCAGGTACATTTACATTGTTCCACCATAGGGGCGGTGCAGATACAAGGCAAATAAACTCAGTAGAATAACATTTTAATAAAATAAGTACAGATGCAAGGTATAGAAATTAGTTGCCGAGTTAGAGTTAGTGAAAATGTAAAAAAAGTGAACTAGCAGCCAGTATTAACATTATTAAATTGTGAAAGTATATAATGCAGTGTTATTTCAGTGTTGTTACATTCTTAGGTCGTGGTAGTCTCGTGTTTATGTGATATCAAACGTAATATTACCGATGAAGATGTTACATGTAAGTCCTACTAATGTCCTGGAAAGACTTGAATGACAATTGTAAAATAAAATGATTTGAATTTGGGGGATTTAAAAGTGAATTATACTTTCTATTTCTCTGATCAGATGCAGTTCCATTGACTGGAAGTCAGACTTCCTACTGGCCTTCCCCCTCAGTGCTGACTGCCAGGCTGAGGCGGCTGATCACGGCCTCTCAGCGCTTCACCAAGAGCCGGCAGATCCTCCAGATCCACCAGACGCAGACTCCGTCTCCCTCCTCCATGATGCTGTCCGCTCCCCTCTGCCCGCTGCCCCCCACACTCAACGACACCCTCAACCCCAAGATGGTCGCTAAGATTGAACGGCAACAAAGGTCAGTGTAGGAGCCAAAATGCTGTGGTAGCCTGTGTTTATAGTTCTATTACCTTCAACACCACACGCACTTGTAATGGGTTGTTTCCGGTGATGGTCACATGGGTGTGGTTAATGGTTAAGGGCACCTGGTGTATGTAGAGGTTGAGCAGCATCACAATGGGGGTGAGCTTAGCTCTGATCACTTTTGTTGACCGTATGATTCTGTTTGTTTATTGTTTTGGTTTGCAATATTAAATATCCTTAAAACGTTGAGTTCAGTCCAGACTTTATTATTTACACGCGTCACATCGATGAGCGAAGTTTAGCCTCAGAGCGGCCGTATTCAATGGGAATATAGCCGCCGCAATTAAGTCAACAGAAACAGCACAAGCTCACCCTCTGTGGGACGATGTGTCATTGAGATATGACTTCATTTTGTAGGAAAGGTGTCATCACCGGGTACGTGTTTTTCTCCCCAGATGGACGAGGCGAGAAGAGGCTGACTTCTACCGTGTGGTCTCTACTTTTGGAGTCGTTTTCGACCCGAGCCTCGGCCGGTTTGACTGGAACAAGTTCAGAGCCATGGCTCGGCTGCACAAGAAGACCGACGAGAGCCTGCAGAAATACCTGTGTGCTTTTGCCGCCATGTGCCGGAGGGTGTGTCGCCTGCCACCCAAAGAGGGAGGTGAGGGGTCCTTTTGATTATTCACACACAGACAAACTGTTAGTCTTTTTGCACAGCTTAAGATAAGAAGTCTGGACATGTGGACCATCACATCCACATTTAGTTTTTACACTCCCTACAGAAGGTCAGTTACCGTGAGCTAGAGGTGCAACAATTAGTTGACCTGTCAATTTGTCGATTGACAACAAATAATTGTCAACTATTTTGCTAAAAGATTAATTAAGTTTCCCTCTTATATCATACCAAACTGAATATCTGTGGGTTTTAGACTAATACAAAGCAAGACATTTAAAGACATCACCTGTAGGAAACTGAAGTGACGAATGGCTTAATGGATCATAAAAAATAATGTATTTAAAAGTGAATTATTAATGTTGTTGCAGCCCTTATTGTTATTTTTTGCAGCCCCACTGTATCTATGAAATAATGCTTTAAAAACAAATGATTTACCTATTTTGAACATTGGATAAGTAATGACATTGCCTTATGTGTCTGTATTGAACATATGGTGGCTGTGGAAATGCCATATTAGGGTATATTATGTATTTCTACCTACATGCCCTGAGTGACTTATACTGACCCACACGCCGGCTGTAAATGATTTAATTCTGGAGAGGGGTCGGCAGCATCTTATTAACAAGCTGGCTCAGCAGCACTCAAGCAGAGGGGCTGATAAGGTTAATCATTTGCTGGAAGACAAACAGTGTGATGTTTAAACTCAAACAGGTCGGTGGGTTGTACCTGTAGAGCAGCCTTCATTTCCTCTCACACACTCACACCTGCTTCTCCGCCTCTTGTTCCAGACGCTGCGGTGGAGCCGTCCCTGAACATCCAGCCCATCACAGAGGAGCGAGCGTCTCGAACGCTTTACAGGGTGGAGCTGCTTCGCCAGGTCAGGGAACAAGTCCTTCGCCACGAGCTGTTCTACGAGCGCCTGCTGTTGTGCCAGATGAGCTCCGACCTGCCCGTCTGGTGGGAGGCAGGAACCCACGACCGAGACCTGCTCATCGGGGCCGCCAAGCACGGAGTCAGCCGCACAGATTACCACATCCTGAGGGACCCCGAGCTCAGCTTCATGGCGGCACAGCGCAACTACAGCCAAACAAAGCCCGCTCAGCAGCATTCACACACGCCCACCCCTCTCCTGCTGCCTCAGTGCCCGCCCAGCAGCTCCATGTTGACGGGCTCTCCGCTGCCTCCTCCGACCCACACAGACGCAGAGCTCGGTGGGGTCGTACCCAAAGTGGAGCCGGCCTCAGAGGGGGAGGAGGGCAGGGAGGAGGGCAGGGAGGAGGGCAGGGAGAAGCAGGCGGAGAGATGGAGCCCAACTCGAGCACCAGCGACTCCCACGGGTCTGGAGGAGAAGCCGCTGTTTGAGATGATCGGTGGCGAGATGCAGATGGTTGCAGCGCGCACCAAGCCCCTCACCCCCAACTCCTCCGAGAGGAAACCCAAGAAGGCCAAGAGGCGCCGCAGGGAGGCCAAGAGGGGCTCCGAGTCCGACTCAGGCGGCTCCTCCTCCAGCTCTTCGTCGCGCTCCTCTTCCACCTCTTCATCCTCCTCTTCTTCCTCGTCACATTCCGGGTCCAGCTCCTCGTCCTCTTCGTCGTCTTGCTCCTCTGGCTCCTCGTCATCATCGTCCTCCTCCTCGTCTTCTTCCAATGGCAGCGACAGTGAGGGAGAGGAAGGGAAGAAGAAAGGTTAGTAAACTAAAAAAACTCAACTATTTCTATTTGGTTTGGAGAAAATCGATATTTCACTAAATGACTAAATGAATCCGCTAGACCTTTCAAATGAAACAGACTATCTTACTCATGGTTTGTTTCTGCCGTCCTGCTTTCATTGAGGGCAGTTTGAAATAATACTAACTGCACATCATGCGTGCTTAAAAGCTTCCGGTGTGTTCCTAACATCTGTCTCTGTGTCCTGTGTGCTCAGTGCCTGCAGCAGCAATGGTGAAGGGCTTTGACGAGGACAGCGTGGCGTCTCTGAGCATGGCGCAGGATGAAACTCAGGAACCTCACACGGCTGAGAACGGCATCACCAACAACTCCTCACATCCCTTCCAGGGAGGAGGGTACATGCTCGCTGCATCCTACTGGCCAAAGGTGAACACCTGCAATCCAGTTACTATAAATAACAACACTGCATGGCCAACAAAGCATCAGATCAAGTATTAGATAGAGAGATGGATAGATGGGTAGATAGATAGATGGATGGATGGATAGATAGATAGATAGATAGATAGATAGATAGATAGATAGATAGATAGATAGATAGATAGCTAGATAGATACGTAGATAGGTAGGTAGATACGTAGGTAGATACGTAGATAGGTAGGTAGATACGTAGATAGGTAGGTAGATAGATGGATGGATAGATATATAGATAGATAGATAGATAGATAGATAGATGGATAGATAGATGGATGGATGGATAGGTAGATAGATAGATAGATAGATAGACAGATGGATGGGTAGATAGATGGATAGATAGATAGATAGATGGGTAGATAGATGGGTAGATAGGTTAGATGGATGGATAGATGGATAGATAGATGGATGGATAGATGGATAGATAGATGGGTAGATAGGTTAGATGGATGGATAGATGGATAGATAGATAGATAGATAGATAGATAGATAGATAGATAGATGGATGGATAGATAGATAGATAGATAGATAGATGGATGGATAGATGGATAGATAGATGGATGGATAGATGGATAGATAGATGGATGGATAGATGGATGGATAGATAGATAGATAGATAGATAGATAGATAGATAGATAGATAGATATATAGATGGATAGATGGATAGATAGATAGATGGATGGATAGATATATAGATGGATAGATAGATAGATAGATGGATGGATAGATAGATAGATGGATAGATAGATAGATAGATAGATAGATAGATAGATAGATAGATAGATAGATGGGTAGATGGATGGATAGATAGATAGATAGATGGATGTAGGATAGATGGATGGATAGATGGATAGATAGATGGATAGATAGATGGATAGATAGATGGATGGGAATTGTTTGCGTTGCAGCAGCACAAAAAAAAAACTATGTACATAAGAGAAATCAAGACACTAGAAATAAACAGTTCCGAAATATTTCTGAAATAGAAATAAAATAGCATTGAAAAGTAAAAAAAAAGATATATATTCATGTGGACATATTTCCAGTAACAAATATAATGCAGGATATTATTGTGCAAGAAATGGATTATTCAATATTAAATTGAATATAAATGTAAAATGTACAGTGGGAGTTTGAGTCCAGTTCTCAAGAGAAGCTTTTAAACGTATTAAGTTCAATGAGAAACAATGGAAGTGTTTACCGTGGTGAGGAGGGAAATCAGAACTGACTGTTAACGTGCTAATGTTGTTTATTTAGGATCGTGTGATCATCAACCGCCTGGACAGCATCTGCCAGGCGGTGCTGAAGGGCAAGTGGCCGGGAACGCGTCGGGTGTACGAGCCCGGTGCCGTGGCCTCCTTCTACACCACCAAGCTGCTGGACAATGCCAACAGTCTGTGCGAGGACCCCTCCGCGTCTCCACAGGGGTCAAAGGTGACCAAGCATGTTGCAGAAAACAAGGAGTTCTCAGTAAAACTCAACGATGTATGTTGATTTCGCCCTTCCTCTCCACCTCCCTCCGCTTCGCCTAACCGTAGGACCCCAGCGCTGCCATGACCGGCGCTAGCTGCCGCGTTCAGCATGTTTCTCTGGGTTTTTCTTCCTTCTTTCCTTTGGGTATGATTAGTGGTTTTTACTGCCTGGCAGGATGAGAGATTAATTTAATGGCAGCTTTCCTTTCTTTTCCCACACACTCAATTTGAATTGGGCTCTGGGGCTGTGATTACATGAGCACAAATCAGTCAGTCATGAGAATATAACAAGGGTTGAGCTTGAAGCCTCTTTAGACTGGAGGAGTCTTGCTTATAATCTCATTGAAACGGAGGCCGTGGCTGTGGGTGTGCTCTAATATGCTTCCAGGCAACGTGGCTGTTAACTCTGCAGGCCTGACATGCTTCCACTTACTCCTTGCTTGTGTGCTGCTTTTTGATCAGGGTCTTTTTATCCCACATTTTACACAGACCCTCAGACCCTGCTGCTTGTTACCTTGAAAACCTGTAAATGCTGACAGCAGCTATCAGTCTGGCATGGCTTCCCACTACAGTACAAACTACGAATAGACTTTACCCACTGCCCTGCGTGTGTCAACACTACTAACAAGAAAATACCTGACAAACATTTGCTTTTTTGTAAGAAATTCTTATCAATCACATGATTAATCACATACATGGAAATGTAACATAACTATTGAGTTTGATACAAGGACCCTTAAATGACTGGACATACAGGCAGAGAACTCCGTCAACAGTCCAAGTTTAAGAAAGATATTAATAATAAGCTAGAATCCCTCCTTGTATCTCGCTCACCTTGTTTTCCCAGTCACTATAAATCTTCCTAGACGTATCCAACACATTTTCTTGTCTGTGTGTTCAGCAGGAGGGAGGTCTAAAGTTGACCTTCCAGAAACAAGGTCTACCTCTGAAGCGGCCCCTGGAGTCGGAGGAGGGGCCCCAGGCCCAGCAGCAGCAGTACCTGGCCCGGCTTCAGGAGCTGCAGAGCGCCTCGGACACCGGCCTGGCCGACATCACCAAGCCTCAGTGCAGCTTCCAGAGCGGTGGGTTTATTCAAAATACAATAAGACTGTGTCGAGGCATGTCTTCCTTCACCTTCCTTGTAACACCACTAGATGGCAGCAGAGTATGTTTTTAGTGAGTGAAGACTGCAAGGACATAAGCCATCTTCTGTAGGCCTACTGGATTTGTTTACACAAATATTTACAAAGGTAATTTTTTAGTCTGAAATGAACCATCTGACTGTTTCATGCAAAAATACCGTACAGTTGAGGTTATTGTCTTAAAAAGCTGTTGATTGAATTCTGAATGTGTGTCTACGATTTCCAATTACACCTCGAAGCTTCATGACTTCAAAGTGGCCCACAGCTAACACGCTTCTTCTCCTGCAGTTCCTCCAGGTCTCCCTGCTCAGATGAGGCTGAACGGAGCACCGGACGGCCAGCCGGTGGTGAAGAGGCGGAGGGGGAGGAGGAAGAACGTGGAGGGGATGGACCTGCTCTTCATGAACAGGAACAGAGCCCCTGCTGTTCCTGATCAGGTAAGCCGCCCGTCTTAGCAGCTTGTACGGCACCACAACGCTCAACAAAATAATGGTCTGGAGCGTTTTCAATTTACTTCTCAAACTGTTAAAAAAAATACAAGAACAATCAAAAGAAAGGAGATGTGTTTGATCTAAGCTTGAGAAGTGGGGCACAGAGACTGTAAAGAAACAATTAAAAATATATAATATTAATACAGCTAGAATTGGAAAGAGTGAATGTATTATACGTAAACATTTACAAGCTACAAAACACATATCGCTAACTAAATATCCATAAAATTCAACGAGTCTAACCGTTACTACTAAAATCCAAACATCAGTTTATGCTTGCTTTGGTTCACTGGTTGCTTATGGTTTAACACTGGTATTGTTTGTGTGTGCTTTACAAACACTGTGTTGTGCTCTTGTTTCTCCAGGTGCCTCCAGGGTGGGGGGGTATTGGTCAGGTGGCCATGGCTGTGGCCCCGGTGCCGGGCTACAGCCAGAGCTCCAGTCAGGCGCCCGCAGACACTGACAGCCGGGTGCCCGTCATCAACCTCAAAGATGGCACCCGCCTGGCAGGGGAGGACGCCCCCCGGAGGAAAGACCTGGAACAGTGGCTGATGGAGCACCCTGGCTTTGTGGCCGACACAGGAGCCTACATCCCTGTGAGTTCATTACTCATGTTACATAACGTGTCCCTGTGAGCTGGCTCTGTAGACCTTTTAGATTAGATTCACTTTATTGAAATAGTTTTTACAGCGGCCTGTTACCAAGGCATAGCACATAATAGGAGATAAACTGTAAATGTATACATATCAACAGTAGAAATATGTATATCTATAGAGTATCTATTCAATACACAATGTAACAAAAACACAAGGAAAACACTTTTTTATGGATTTAGAGGAACAAATATGCTGTTCAGAACATGGCTTTCACATATATGTGGTTTCCAACCGTTTAAAAACAAGTACACTCATAGTTGGCTTGTGCAGAAAGGTGAATTCAGTCAGACATTTGTCTCAATGTCTCCATGTCTCCATGTCTCAATGTCTCATGTCTCCATGTCTCAATGTCTCCATGTCTCCATGTCTCCATGTCTCAATATCTCCATGTCTCCATGTCTCATGTCTCCATGTCTCATGTGCAGGGGGTGAATAAGATGCAAATGCAGTTCCACTTCCAGGACGGTCGGCCCAAACAGAAGAGGCACCGCTGCAGGAACCCAAACAAGATCGATGTGAACAGCCTGACCGGAGAGGAGAGGGTCCAGATCATCAACAGGAGGAACGCACGCAAGGTGTGTGTGTGTGTGTGTGTGTGTGTGTGTGTGTGTGTGTGTGTGTGTGTGTGTGTGTGTGTGTGTGTGTGTGTGTGTGTGTCTTGCCTGTTGTACATTTGTTCATGTTTCTGTAATCTTTCATTCTGTAGGTCGGTGGAGCGTTTGCTCCTCCTCTGAAGGATCTGTGCCGGTTCCTTCAGGAGAACCCTGAGTACGGAGTCCCTCCTGAATGGGCTGATGTCGTCAAACAGTCGGTGAGTCACTCGCTAACAAATTCATCCAAACTCTCACTGGACTACGATGTGTCAGCAAAGTGTTTTAACCCTGTTATCCTGTACTCTACAACAGCTGTGATGAATGTAGGATGGGTTGCAGGGCTGTCGTATCGGACTGCTTTAGTTTGAGCTAGATGCATCTAGAAGATTAGCAATGTACAGTGTATGCATCTTTTCATGTACTGTGATTTGCAATGAAGTATCACCTCTAGCTGTGCTGTGTATCTCTGCTCACCCTGCATGTATTCCCTCCACATTGTCTCCAGGGTTACCTCCCAGAGAGCATGTTTGACAGGATCCTGACGGGACCCATCGTTCCTGAGGAGGTGAGCCGGCGTGGACGTCGACCCAAGAACCCTCTGGCTAAGGCAGCAGCAGCAGCAGCAGCAGCTTCAGCTTCAGCCCCAAACCCCGCTGCCATGGGCCTGAACCCCCTGCTGGCCAACGGGCTGCTCTCTGGGCTGGACCTCAGCAGCCTGCAGGCCTTCCAGCAGAACCTGCAGAGCCTCCAGAGCCTGCAGCTCACCGCCGGCCTCATGGGGCTGCCGACCGACGCCAGCAACCTGGCCGCCAGTAACCTAGCCGCCATGTTTCCCATGATGCTCTCTGGTATGGCCGGATTGCCTAACCTGATTGGCATGAGCAGCCTGCTGGGGAAGCCGGCTCAGGAGGGCGCAGGAGGCTTGGAGGAGAAGACAAAGGGAAGCGGTGCAGCAGGAGAACCGTCTGCCTCCAAAGCCTCAGAGCCCAGAGGAGAAAGGACAGAGGGCTCAAACTCCACTCCTTCCTCCACTTCCAGCTCCTCTTCCTCCGCCCCACTAAGTGCTTCAGCTGCCTCTTCACTGTCTCTCAACCCCTTGTTACTCTCCAGTATGCTTTACCCAGGGATGCTTCTCACTCCAGGCCTTAACCCCCCCACACAGCCGCAGAGCTCTAACTCTGGCCCCCCCCTTCCTCCTGCAGGCTCTTCGCAGGAGATCGCTCGGCTAGCGGCACAGAGGGACGCAGAGGAGGATGACGAGGCATTAGACGAGGATGACGAAGAAGAAGATGACTCAGCAGAACAGAAGGAGAACAGTGGTCCTGACGGTTCGAGGAAAGCTGAGTCATCTTCCTCGGAGTCTGGGAGCTCCTCTTCATCGGATGATTCAGACTCCAGTGATTAGGACTGATCCTATGAATATAATTATAAATTTATTTATGTATCGCCTAGAAATGTACACATATATTCACATATATATGGATTTTCCAGCACTTATGTTGCGATTTCTTTACATGTAAATACAAGAACTAACAAAAACGTTGTGTAAAAAAAGACCACAAAAACCTTTAAAAAAAAAAAACGTAAAACTGACTTAAAAAGAACTGAAATAAAATGTCAGTGTTTGTTCACAAGGTACAGTCTTGTTTTGAGACATTTTGCATGTCAGACTTTAGTAGATTTCTGAACTCTGTGAACCTGTACCACCCGTATGTACAATTGCAACAAAAAAACGGCATTATTGTAATTATGTCAGGATTTAATTTTATTAAAAAAGTGAAACTACATCAACATGCTCGTTGAGCTGTACTATTAATATATTTGGATTGTTTGGGGCCGGGGGAACGAGACTTGACAAACACTTTTCTTGTAAATAGTCGGTACTTTTACAGGTTCGTTGACACTTATGCTTTGCAGATCATACGTTGGATATGTCAGCAATAACTTGGGCAGCTAATGAATGTCACTGAAGCTGTAGATTCTGTCTGCCATGTTCCACCCAGTGCACAACTCACCTGTCATATCACGTCGACTTCATTTCTGTATTAGTCCACATCCTTTTTGGAAACAGTTACCTGGAGCTCACTCTTTGCGCTTCACTTGAAATCTATGGAAGTATTATGTTTTCAATCCGCTTAAATCTGTCAAAATGGATCGTAATTGAGATTTCAGTTTTCACATTTAATTTGAGAAACATGTCCCAAGGCGCACTTTAGCTTCTGACAGCAGGTGAACACGCTCACACATGTTAATAATGACTTAGTGTCAGTCTAATAAAGCTGTGGGACAGAAAACAACCTTTTTACTGTGTGCCAAAAACTGCCCTCTGACCCTCTGAGGTCCTCCTTTAGTTTCTTTTGAAAGAATTCAGGATGTTATTACTACCACCCCGGCATTTGGCTGCATCTTACCTCAACTGTTAAAATGGTCTGGCTTCACTGTGCAACTGTGCATGGGTGTGTGTTATTGCTGTCCATGTACAGAACATGATGTCCTTGTTTCTGCTGGAACGTGTTTGTCAGAGGCTGTGTTTTTTTACTCAGAGCTTCCACTGTGTTTTCCCGTGGTTTCACCCCTCACCCGGTATCTCCTGCTTCCGTCACTTCCAGTCTGAACGCTGTGTATTAAGCGGGAAACTGCAAAGCTATGACCAGTAAAACACGTTGACCTTCTAACCTTAGAAATTTGGAGGACAGACCTTTTGATTCTGTGTACTTTGGAAACATACAAGGCACAAGCACAAAACAGTTAAAGTCCCCCGCTAAGATTGAGTATTATCCTTTAGTGCCAGACGGGTCCGCTTCAGGAAGGGCTCGGTAAAAGCAGCTTGTGTTGCTGGGAGTTTGCAGCTTCTTCATGTATTTGTCACTTTGTCTCGGATTGTGTTCTGCTGATGAATGGAGCTTCAGCTAGATGTAGAAGTGCCCTTATCCTGTACCTCACGCTCGCATTCACCTCCCGTCTGACAAACACCTCTGTGCTCCACGCTTGTTTCGTCTATCGTCGTCCCTGCACACGTTCAACCAGGATACACATAAACACTGGAGTTCACTCAAAGCCGAAGTACCTTTTTGTAAATTCTCCGCTTGCTCTAGGACTGCTGTTACACAGCGGACTGTTAGACACACGTTTCAAAAACATTTCTGAAGTGAGGCTTTTGTTCTGCCTGGGTACAACAGAGCCCCTCTGACTAACTCAGTCTGTTTAGCTCTTCAGTATTGCTGTAGCATCGTTCTGTAGTGGGTGAAACCACGAGCTGCCCCTCGACTCAAGACTTGTATTAATTTCTAATGTTGCTTTCAAGTGATTTCCTTGTATGCCTGTTATATATAAATATATATATAGACCTAGTCATGGGTTTTTGCTTGCAATGCAATTTGCTTTTTTTTAATATTATTACTAACAGTACAGTATTTTTCTATGTCTGAGCAAAGATCTTAAACACGCCACTGTCAGTTTGTAAATCTGCACCTCTGCTTTCTTTAACTCGTAGTGCCCTTATGCAAACACCCAGCCATTGCTATTCTGCTGTAGGTGATACATTTTCTTTTTGTTGCCCCACAGCGATGGGTTAGCGGATTGTTAGGACACATATTGGGGGTGGGGGGGNGGGGGGGGGGTAAAAGTGGTAGACATAAGATTGGACTGCTTATTTTTCGCTTGTTTTATTTTATTTTTAGGTCGTACTGTACAAGGACTCCCGAAGCACTGCTAGTGCTCAAGAGGGGGTGTAGAATCTGCGTTAAACACGAGTAACAAAATGACCAATATGCAAGAGGAATGACAGAACACACTACTGCTGTACAGGGGGGGGGTATTTCTGTTCCATGTAATCACTGAGATGGCAAAACTAGCATCGTTGGTTTTGTATTTTGCTTTCAAGCTTGATAATATCCTAAATGTCACTCTGGTCAGTTTTTGTCTTTTTTTTTTCTTTCATTGGACAGTTGTAATATTTGCAAGTTTTGGTCTGTGTATTCAAAATAATTCTTTATGTAGTGCAGGAAAACACGTCTTAAATTCATTTGTAATTTATTGGATTACTTTCTATGAAGTTCTATAGAGGAAATTGAGGTTTAATTATTTTTATTAAACATATTCTTCTGACTATCAATTAAGTGTGCCTGTTGCTTTGTCTGGGGGCCTTTTTCAAGACATCAGGAACTCTCCTCACGTGTGTTCATTTATTCACTTCTGATTTGTTCCTTTTCCACACTGCACTCAGCAGACTCGGTGGGAGAGGACGGAAAAGTATGTTCTACTTAACTTATAATAAAAGCACTTCTTAAAGCTTTTAAATGCATAAAATTCACTAGTGATGAAAAATAATCTGTTCTTGCTTAAATTGAAGGTAACTAAAACCTTACTTTGTATGTTCCGTTGTTCTTTTTTGAGTAAAAGATAGCTTTTTGCACAAAATGATTTATAACTCAGGAAAAAGTTGCTGACACATCAATTTTCAGAGTGCGAGTAGCAAACAAGGTTATGTGTTATCCTAGTTCTAACTGTATCTGTTGTAATACAGCATTCAGTAGAGAAGTAATGCAACAATCACAAAACACCTAATCCAAAATCTATCTATAAATATGTAATTGGTTGCACATTTTATAAAGTTGAATCATCCATCATCTACTGGTGTGATAAGAAAGATCCATCGGAACGTTTCCAAGATTCTTTTCACAAACAAAACAAGCCTAAAATGTGTTTTGCCCGGACATGAGTGCATGAACAGATCCCATCTTTATTACAGCAAAGAGTTGACATGTTTTCCTCTTGGATTTTCCTGTGTTCTTCTTCCTCTTGGTGGCGCTCCTGTTGTTCCTACAGCTGTTCACACTTCAGAGCAACACCAGAGACATGTCGGGGCTTGTCTAAATAATGTGAACTTCCTCACTGTGAGTAGCACGTGAGCACTGCTGCAGCCGGACACACACTTAAAACACACACAGAGCTCAGAGCACAGGACCCAAACTGGATTTTAAACCATAAAACCCAGAGTGACCGAGACTGGTAAGTGACTTTGATCCTCGTTGTATTGTACTTCAGTCAAAAGTTCAAATTGAATGACGTGTTGCATGAAAAGTCAGCTGTTAACATTCACCCTCTACTTCTGCATAAGTGATAATAACTAACTGCTGCAGCACCGACTGACTGGAGGTTAATGATTGACTCTTTTGAAAGGCTCTAATGTAGCCTGTTGTTATAATAATACAAAATGTGTTCAGTTCAACTACGGCAACATTTAAATGCCTATCACGTGATGGAAAGTGAAACTCAGGCCTGTTTATGATGAAACTTCTGTCAGTGAACAAAACAGGAAATAGGTGTAAACCACTTGCTTGTGCTTTCTCGCTGTAAGTGTATTTCTAAAACAGAGAACACAAATCCTAGTGTCAGCTGTATTTTATGGACACTTTATTTCCATGTAATGCATAGACAAGCTTCATATCACACAAAAGAAAGTTTGAGGAAGATGATGTATGTATGACAAGGAGAGGTTGCATCAGTCCAGTTTTCTGTAGGAAACATGTTTCCTTTGACTCTTGGCACTGGCAGTCTATTTGTAATGGAAAATTAACTCATCTATTGATAAAGGAGGGAAACAAATAATGTGTTTAAGAACCGAGGCATTTTCATTTGGAGGCTCTCAAGAATGCTACAGTCTGTGATTCAAACAAGTAGAGCTGACACTAGAAACATGTAAAAACACGTGTTATTTGACCGGTTAAAGGGATAACGTGACAGAATTACATGTAGTTTACTCTGCTGATTTGAGAAATTGCAGTTATTGTTGCTTCTGATTTTAAAGTGAATTGGGTGAAAGCTTTTTTAGTCCATTAACCTGCAGCTCTGTGAAGATGTTAATGCTCATTCAGAGAAAGTGCGTGAGGCCTCAAGACGAATCTGTTGGAAACACGTGAAACTTTGGTGAAGAAGCAGATTTTTTAAACAAGTCTACAATGAGGATTATTGTGGTGTCTCACAAAGCCTGACTTGAGTGCAACAGTAAAACAATGTCACCTTACTTGACCCTAAATGATAAAACACAAAAATCATTTGAATGTTCAGATGTTGGGGTTTTTCTCTTTCTCAAATGAGGATGATATCACACATTTTGCTGATAACGTTTCTAATGTTTTGGCCATGTCTACATACCTATATAACACAGGCTACATCGTTCTTACATAATAAACTTAAGTAAAAAAACATCTTATTGTTATTCATTTTCTCTTTTTTTTTTATTTGCGTTGCATTTCATATTGAGGCAATCCAAAAATGACGAGAAATGATCAGATTACATTACTTTATATATTTTGAAACTCAGATTAGTATTAGTATACAAGAGTAACTTTCCTGACCCTGATCATAGCTCAGTATTGTGCAATCTCTCGATCCCTGCTTCCACATTCTCTCTCTCTCACACACAAACACACCCGGTGTAAAATGATAGTTTACTTTAAGATCATGTTTAATCGTCTCTACATTGCTGCTTCAGACTGGGTTCTTCTGATGAGTGTCTACAGCAGGGGTGTCCAAACTACGGCCCAGGGGCCAAATGTGGCCCGTGGTTGATTTTGAATTGGCCCGAAGCAAATTCTTAAAGTATAATGGAATATGGCGGCCACCTGAAACGTGTGCTCTTATATTGTTTTTAAATATATATGTACAAATCCCACTTTTCAAATATATTCTGTCAATTAATAACCATTAACTTATTGACATAACACGCTTGAAATATACCCTTTTTATTTCCCCTTATTACAGTATAAGCAATTTGACTTCTGTTTTAAGGGATGAGCTGCCAACAAAATAAACAAAACCCCATCGAAAACTCTGATGTGAGTCTCTTGAAAATGTGGCGCAACATGAGGCCCTTTTGCCCTGTATGAATGTACAGGGCAAATGTTGTTCGTTCCCCAATAGTTCTGTACATATAAAAACGCCGCTGCACACATGTGTCTGTGGGAGGTCTGTGATCCTGAATGATAAACGGCACACGTGGGAGTGAAACAGAGCCTCCATTGAGACAGACAGAGGAGGGAACACACTCAATGTGGAATGTGGGAGGTACAGTAGGAGAAGGCCTTTTCTTATTAAACTCAAAGTAAAAGTACCAACAGTCCAGGGGGGGGGGGTGATGGAGATCAGTTTTCACATAACTGAGCCTATGACAAAAGCTGACTGAGAACATAACAATCAGTTCAGAGTACAATGATCTTAAGCTGTCTGAAATGTTCCTGTTACATTTTCAACACGCCATAATCACAATTTATAATACATTTTAATTTCACATTAAGGTACCTTGCAAGGACGGAGCAGTACTCCCATGTTTGGGAAGCTTTCCCATCTGAGATGCAGCAACATGTGACTCATCACATCTGTTGATGATAAGAGTAATAATAACACTCTCATTGCTGTATGATAAATATAACGCAGGGCAGTGGATAAGCTAAGCATGCACACTGGAAGCAGGAAGCAACAGCTCTGGTCAAAGTTTTAAAAAAAACACCCACCGACACACTTCTGACATCTTTTAAATATTATTTGTACACGTGTTAACATTGTAAAAGTTGTTCACAGGGAGTCCCGTGATATAACTATTTGCTGGGCCACTGACTTAGTAAAGGAGGGAACAAACATTTCAAGGTTTGTTTGTTTGTGTCCCATGTGTGAAATTAAGAGTCACTTGTAGGCGGAGCTTTAGAAAGAGCTACTTCACCGACACCATGTCTATGTTTCTTTGTGTTTTTGGTGCGTTATGGTAAACTTGTTTTCTTTTTGTGTAGCTTCTTTTAAAAGTAGAATCAGACTGAAAAAGCTAGGAAACTAAGAAAATATGAGACATGGAAGAAAGAGCCTTATAGGACAAGTCAAGGGAATTCCATTAGTTTTTTTATTTTGCATATTGAGAATTTAGGTTTGATTTATTCTCAAAAGTGTTTTGGTAATTCTCCTCATGTTGTCTTTTTTTCTCAACATTGAAGTCTTCCTCTTCTCATTATTTTCCCTTATTCTATTAAAGCTTGATTTTATTTACATTATCAAAGCTCTTAGTTTAAAATGCCTCTAATGTTTTTTTATAAAGCACTTTAAATTGCCTTGTTGTTAACCTGTGCTATATAATAAACTTGGCTTCTCTAATGCCTACATGGCCCTAATTATTTACCGTTTAATATTATTACAAATTCTATTTATTTAGTGGTTGACAAACCTGAGGAGCTCAACCAGATTGTACTTCGTTGATAGTTTGTATGTTTCCTAATCTGGTGTTTTTAATGTCCTTGTTTAGATTCCTGCTCTGACTCATCCTGTGTGAGTAAAGGTCACCATGGACAACGGTCCCCATGGTAACCAGGGGCGATCGATGTTTGGCCCGAGTGAACAACTGACCGCTGAGTTCAGGTTAGACTTTTAGTTTTTTATAAAACCCCTGAATAACAACGTAACCTGCCGTTAGTATACAGAGAGACATTTTAACAAAACTATGACTGATATTTACAATAAACCAGAGAATTCAAAAGATTCAAGACTCAAAGGCTTTATTGTTATACAGCAGGCAGCAGCTACAGTGTAGTTATGGTAATGAGAATGTTACGTCCCAGTTCTCTGGCATATATTCTGAGGACAACAACGACACAAAGTCCTTTTAACATCCCGTTGCATGTGACATACTGTAGTAACCACAACAATGCTGACATCACTGTGTATATATATATATATATACACCACACACACATATTAGTCTTATTTATAGAGTTAG